CTACACACCGCTGACGCGCTCAGTCGGAGGACTGTGATCCTCTTTTGGGGACTGCGACTCTACACACCGCTTGACCAGCTCAGTCGGTGGGTCGTAACCAACCAAAGCCCTAGACACCGTCTGAAGGACTCATTCGGTGGGCAATGATCTTCGGGGACTATGACCCTACACACCGCTAGCACATACACTCGGTGGATCGCAGCCGACCATAGCCCTACGCACCGCCTGATCACTCATTCGGTGGACTATGGCCTTCCTCGGGCTAGTCGCCCTACACACCGCCTAGCGCGTCCAGTCGGTGGACCATAACACACGAGGCCCATGTGGACCGCAGCCCAAGAAGTGAATCACCGACCGCAGCCAGGAGAATGAACTGCAGCTCAGGAATACCCAATTTGATCGCAACCAAATTGGGGTATCATGCTCACATAACACATAGTAACACATAATAGCACATTGGGAAGGGGGGAAAGCGTATAAATAAACTTATGCGTGATTATCCACATACTAAGAATAGTCCTAAGGGGTTCATACATCTTCCTCCTAGGCCAACGGGTTACCGATTCAACTAGCATGCAATAAACGAGACTCTTTTACCCAACGAACGGTACCCGAAACATCAAACTAGACTCAAGCACGAAAAACGGAGCCCGTTGGGACACCATGGGGGGTTGGGGAACATCAAACAAGGAAGCCAAAGTCCCGAGGTGGGCAACAACCTGCGGGTAGCCGGTGGGTGGAGGGCTACCCGCCGGCGATACTCCTCCGGGCAGTCGCCTGCCCGCCGGCTGCCCGCTGCCGGCGACGTCTTCTTTGGGCAGCGGGTAGGTGGCGGGTCCCCTACCCCCACCTACCCCCCACTGACTCTTTATCAAAATAAACGTCCCGGGATCCTCCGTGGAACCTGAAACCATGCTTAGACACTTTTAAACGCAAATAACGACACCACGTAGACAATTAATGGATCAAAAGCAAGAATCACATAGAACACACCCTATCATGACTTCTAAACATAAACTGTAACACCCCAGATTTTCAAGATATTTAAAACTTATAAAATAAAGGTGAAATCTCATTAAATCCCAAACAGAGTACGAGTGTACGGGGTGCTATGCCACACCTGAGCTAGAGAACTCAGGTGCACAGGCTAACTAACTAATGTCTCAATGATATGAATGCATAAACATGGCACGCAGGCCGAAAGGGAAACTAACTACTTCTATGTTCCAAGCTCTAGCGCACTCCAGTGACTTAATCTTCTGTGCCTGAAAGCCAAATATATCTGTTCAGCGAGAGATGCTGGTAACCCACTCCAACGTGTTGAAATACATTACATATAGAGGTATATATAGATATACGAAAACCGTTTTGAACATGAAGATCTATCCTACGAACTCTAGATTTTAAAACCGGGAATGACTCGACAGATAAGGCTAGACACAAGCAACAGCTATAACAAGCGTATACAATCTACAACAAGCAAGACAGATAAAGCTAAGCACAATTAATAATCATAACCCAACATAATCAATCCCCAGCATAAATCCCATAGTCCCATCCCTCAAGATACTCATAACCACAACTCATCCATATCTCATCACATAGCACACTTTGTTGGCGCCACAGGACCAATCGCATGCCCATACATGAGGGTCAGCGCATATAGCTCTGACACGGCCCCGCAGCACCCTGCCCCGTCTCACATTACGGAGGAGCCGATCGCAACCGACTGATGGACCTTTGTCCTACATAATATTTATATACCTGACCGGTCTTTACCAGCCTGGTTAACAGTTGGGATGGTTCTCAGCCCATTCAACTGCCCGTATAGTGGACCTTTGTCCTATATAATATTTATATACCTGACCGGTCTCTACCAGCCTGGTTAACAGCCGGTATGGTTCTCAGCCCATCCGACTGCCCGTATAGTGGAACTTAGTCCTATATAATATTTATATACCTGACCGGTCTCTACCAACCTGGTTAACAGCCGGTATGGTTCTCAGCCCACCCGACTGCCCGTATAGCCCGATTGATCTTAACTAACTCGGGGTTACATGCACACATAACACGTAACAAGTACATGCAGCCCATATTAACACATTGGGAAGGGGGAGAAAACGTATAACAAAACCTATGCGTGATCCATCACAAACTAAGAATAGTCCTAAGGGGTTCATACTTCTTCCACCTAGGTCAACGGGATACCAATTCGACTAGCATGCAATATAATAGACTCATAAACCTACGAACGGTACCCGAAACATCAAACTAGACATAGGCACGATAAACGGAGTCCGTTGGGACACCACGGGGAACGGGGGAAACATCAAACGGGGAAGCCGGGAACCCAAGATGGGAAAGATTCCAGCGGGTAGCCGGTGGGTGGGGGGCCACCCGCCGGCTGCCCGCCGGTAACACTGTTCCGGGCAGCGGGTCGCCGGCGGGTAGCTGCCCGCCCGCCGGCTGCCCGCTGCCGGAGATACAATTTCCGGCCGTGGGTAGGTGGCGGGTCCCCTACCCCCCACTGACCCTTATCACACAAATTCGCCCTGGAAACCATTGTGGAACCCGAAACCATGCTTAGACACTTTGCAACGCAATCAATGACAACACGTAGACAATTAACAGATCAAATACGAGTAACGAATGGCACATAACCTATCATGCTTTTCTAAACATAATCAACACCCAAACATGTGATTTCCCCACCCGATAACCCAAGAATAACACCATACGATACAACCTAGGGTTCTAATCACTTTTATAACAACAGGAACACGATTCGCCTTCTAATTGCAAGATTCGGTGAGAATAACACATAAGCATCAAGGGTATCATACAATTTATCAAGAACAACACACAATCATCAAGAACTCCATATAATCATCAAGAACATCATAATTATCAAGAATCTCCCAACATCAAGATTATCAAGATCCCCCATGGGATCATCACATCAATCATCGATAATAATCATCACAAGTCATTAATACACAATAATATGGGGAAACCCTAGGGGGGAATCATAACTATGAAAATAGGTTTTGTTGAGACATGGGTTACCTCTTAGCCTTAATTAATTCCTTGGCTATGAAGGGTCTTTCTTTAAGCTTTCTAGCTTTCTTGATTTCTTCTAAGGGGATTCTTGGAGCTCTTTTGGGTGGTGGGGCGTTAATGTGGAGGGGGGGGTTTCTAGGTGCCTCTTAAGTCCCCTATTTATATATTTAGGAGTCCTAGTTAGGAACTAATATTATGGGCTTGCTAATTCTATTTCTTTTGGGACTAGGGATTGGGTTTAGGGATAAGGCCCGTGGACTATGGTGGGCCTCCTAATTAATTATTGTGATTTAATTCTTTCTTTTGGGTAATTGATTAAATGATTTAATTGATCTTAGGGGTCGTAACACGGGGTGTTACATAAACAACACCCGAACATGCGAATTCCCCCCAAATATATATATCAAGAACATCACAATACAAATTCCCAATTCAACCTAGGGCTCTAATCCCATTCAAATCATCAAAGTCATAGTTTATCTTTATCATCAAGAAACATCAAGATTTATCAAGGATCATCACACAAACATCAAGAACCTCTTATCATCATCAAGATCATCAAGATCACACATAAAATCATCCCATCAATCATCAAGATTATATCATAATTATCATAAAGGATTTCATCAAGACACAAGAATATTGAAGGAGCCAAAGAAGGAGATTATAACAAGGAAAATAGGTTTTGTTGAGACATGGGTTACCTCTTAGCCTTAATTAAATTCCTTGGCTATGAAGGATCTTTCTTTAAGATTTCTTCTTTCTTGATTTCTCCTATGGGAATTCTTGGAAATTCATGTGTGGTGAAAGTTATTGTGGTGTGGGTTCTAGGTGCCTCCTATGTCCCTATTTATATATCTAAGAGTCCCATTTAGGGTCTAAATGGTATGGGTTTGCTAATTCTATTTCCTATAGGACTAAGGGATTGGTTTTAGGGATAAGGGTCCATGGGCTTATGGTGGACTCTTCCTAATTAATTAATGAAATTTAATTCTTTCTTTTGGGTAAATGATTAAATAATTAATTGGTTTAGAGGCCGTAACACGGAGTGTTACAAAACCAATGCAACGATTATCAAAGGAATCATACTACAATCATGGAATCAACATTACTAGCATGTCAGTCAATTAAATACTCCCAGGAAGTAATAGAAAGGATTCTCAACATAGATCGCAACATAATTCAAATGAACATCAGGAGTAGGATTTATAAGTGATCAATAGCTCAATTTCGAATCAAAGGATTCATAAGACATAACTCTAGACCTGAATAGCATCAACAGATAGTCAAAAGTACACAGGATGCAATAAAACACTACTAGAATCAAAGCAAACAATATCTAGCGGGCCTGAGTGGCGGGGTTAGAGGACCCGCCGATGCCTACCGCAAAAACAAAATGGTGAGGGATGGCGGGTCGTCCACTTTCGCCAAACCCACCCTCAGCACCCTAGCGGGGGGTGGATCACGGGCGTGCCAGCCTCGTTGATCCCTCCCGTTAGGCCAAAAGACGAAGTAGAAATAGCAAGCAACAGACCTCAACTTCCAGAATACAAAGTCAGGTTACACAACGACAAACTCCAAAACAAAATACATCAACATCAACAATAATCTTAGAGTAGAGAAGTGTAACACCCTATTTTTCTTAATCTAAATCCCAAATACTTAACTTCATAAGATAAACTAAACAAGATTAAACATAAGATTAAATAACTTAAATTCATCCAAAACCAACAACGGGTGTCACCGCCACAGTCACCACACACGATGACTACACAGGATAAAGAAAGGGAAACTATCTAGAGTCAAGCTCATCAAAAACTACATCAAAAGCTAAGGGATCAACCCCGGTGTTCAACACCAACACAAGATCAACAATAGAAATCTAAGCATCAATGTTCAAGATAGAATCTAACTAGAATCCATCTACTCATATTTACGTACTAATCTAACTTGTGCGTGCTCAACCACTGGGCCCACCTGAAAGGGGTTAATAAAACAGTAGGAAATAAACCCTTTAGCACGAATGCTAAGTATAAAGCCACTCAACCTTGTAAAGTACTATAGATATAGATTTTGAAAATCATTTTGCAAGCACACTTAAGTTCAAGTACTTTCAACACTTAAACAACAATCTCAAATCATGCTCATCAACATTACTATATGCTTGCAACCTATTCAACATATAAACATGCTTTCACAAGTACTCAACTTAAAACTTCTCATGCTTTAACAAATATTTCTAAACATAGCTCAGTACTCAGACTCATGCTCAAACTGAAAGATAAAGAGATACATAAACTTAACACGCAATCTCATGCCATCAAGCCAACTCATAAACATCACAAAGTGTTATACTTCTCATCATACTTTATATGCAAAATATGCAAAACATGCAAATCAGGCAATAAGATAGTCATGATGCTATATATATATATATATATATATATATATATATATATATATATATATATATATATATATATATATATATATATATTATCGCTCTTTTGTAAAAAGGAACACTTTTTCTATGGAGGTTTCTGTTGAGTCACATTAACTCGCTTTTCTCTTCTTTCTCTCGAGTCTCTTGACTCGCTTTCTTTATTTCTCTCTTTACTTGCGGACGAGGTAGGAACTTCACCAATATGTGAACGAACCTATCCGGGCTCAGCATCTAGCCGGCCTAATACTCACCTAGCCGGCCTAATACTCATCTCACCGAGCGTCGTCCCCTTTCTTTATGTTGCTTTACAGGTCTTGAGTAGCTTTTGGAGTGCGCGCTAGCTGTTGTTAGATAGTGTAGCTCCCTTGACTGTTTTAGTTAGAGTTTTGGGCATGTGAGCCATGGATTATTATGATCATGACTTGTATGTTCGTTAGATTTAGCCTGTGCACCTATAGATGTATAGGTCTGGCATGACATCTCCCGTATTTTGTGTTTTGCTTCCGCGTTACTTTAATCTCGATGAGTAGAATTTGTCTCTTTACTAAGCTTTAAATGTTTTTTGAAAATTGTGAAAATCGGGGGTGTTACAGGTAGGCCTCTGCCCGCCATTCCGCCCGCGGATACACTCCACTACGCCCAAAATTTCCCTTCAGGGAAAATCAACAACAAGGCCAAGTTCAAGTCCAAAACACCCAAAATCTCACACACAACATTAATATGACTTGAACCCAAGAAATAGCCAAGCAATGGCATTCAAGAACCCTAAGAACAAGCTCTAAACATGCATCACCACAAGATCATGCATCAAATCTCACAAATCAACACAAGTAGAAGCCAAGAATCATCATATAAGTAAGAAAATAGGTTTTGTATAGCATGGGTTACCTCATTCGCTTATCAAACCAAAACAACGCCAAACTTAGGCTCAACTCGCAAGCCAATCTATCGGGAACCTGTGGATTAAACCGGATCTTCACTATTTAACAAATAAACTAATTAAAACTAAATAAGCTCATAAGGGGTATTGAACTTTAATTCCTCCCTAAATTACCCAATAGCACAACCATTTAAGCTAGGCACCCTATTGTTAACTTAACCCCAACATTATTACACTAATAACCAAGCTTAAGTTAAAACTAGTAATTAAAACTAATAAACAAAGATTAACTAATTAAGCTAAGATGAGAGTTGAACCTTAGCCATCCACAATCACAACCACCCCTTTAACCATTAAGTTAAGCTGGTTCCTATTAACTTAAACAACACTAAACCTACTTAAGTTAAACTAAGCATCAACAACAAGAAGAAACCAGAAGCTCACCACTCTTTCTTCTTCTTCATGCAGCCAAACCCGCGGGTGGAACATGGTGAGCACCTCCGCCCACGCCACTGCCCGTTGCTTGCTCTGCTTCGCCGGAGGACAAGCCACCGCCATCGGAAACGCTACGCCGGACCAGTCCGAAGCTCCGCCGCCGGAGGGTTGCTTCGCCGGAACTTCGCTACTAACGCTCGTCTTCAACGGAGGAGGGAAAACCGATCCACTGTTCGCCAGAAGAGACACCACTCGCCGGATATGCTCCATTTGATGCCGCCGCTAAAGCTCGCCGGAGACAGAGGTGAGAAGTTCATGGTGAGGACTGCTGCGCCGTTGAAGTCTGCCTAACCACTGCCCTATTGCTGTTTCGCCATCGACGAGAGAGAGAGACTTTCACTGGGCTGCTCAACCTGCCGACGACAACCACCGTTGCTCTGCGCCGTTTCACGTTTTGTCGCCGGCCACCACGGAAGAAAAGGGAAAAGGGCGAAGGTGGATGCTCAGCCGTATGGTTGAAGAAGAAGCTAAAAGACGCAAGGCGTTTGGCTAAGGTTTGAAGACGAAACCGTCATAAATATATTATTCATATACAAATAAGTTTCTATATCTACTAGGTAGCCTTCTATTTTTGGATTGGGTCAAAATGACAATTGAGCTAGGCTAGATATAAGACTTGGGCTTAGCACTTGGGTTTGGGCAATTGGATCAAGACTAGTTACAATATCAATATCATTTTGGACTCAAGGATCATTATTAGGCTTTTAAGAATAAAGTCATTTTGGACTTAGGCATTTCGGTAGCAAGATAATAATAGTTTATTTATAAAATAAATAAACCAATATAAATATTTTTAATAAAAATATTTAATATCAGGACTATAGTTTATTTTAGAAAAATACGGGGTGTCAGAAGCATAAACACAAGAATATGCTAAGATAACATCAAGAACACACATACAGGAGTGAAAATAGTTTTCTTGGACATAGGGTTACCTTTCAAGCTAGAAAACCAATTAAAGCTCCTCAAGCTCACTCTAGCATTTCATTCTGAACTTGATCATCTTAAAGCCCCCAAAAACCCATCATAGAAGATAATAAAAGATTCATAAGAATGGAGAAATAGAGAAAGAAGAGGGTGTAGGAGTCAAGTTCTTACCATTTCTTTGCTTTGAATGTTATAAAGATGAAGTCTTGACTTGGATTCTTGAATAAGAAATGGAAGGCAAACGTTTGTGTAGGGCAGAAGAAGAAAGTGGCATGAAGGAGGGGAAAACTGAGTGAAGTGTCTAGGTTTTTAGCTAGCTAAGATATATTGGTGTGTATACATTAAGGTATAAAAATGAATATTTGGGCTATAAGTGCAAATATGCTAACTCTATAAATATAAGGAAATTAATGTGGGCTTTTAGAAGAGTAAGGACTATATAATAATATAATATAAGATTGGCCCACACTATTAATATTCAAAGTCTTAGAAAGATCCATATATATATATATATATATATATATATATATATATATATATATATATATATATATATGGATCTTTCTAAGACTTTGAATATTAATAGTGTGGGCCAATCTTATATTATATTATTATATAGTCCTTACTCTTCTAAAAGCCCACATTAATTCCCTTAGAAAGATCCATTTATATATATATATATATATATATATATATATATATATATATATATATATATATGGGAAAATGTTCAAATGCGGCAGGACTTTCCTGTGCGGCGGTGCGACGGGTTTCAAAATACAACAGTGTTAACGAAAGGTACCGACAGTGTGAAGGAAAAACACCACATTAAAATCCAATAAATACACAACACATTCAAAAAAATACATCATATAACTCACCACCCCTAATGGTATTTCCGAACACTGTATGGTGCTTTTACTCGCACTTAATGGTGTGTTTTTTGTGATGCGTACCTAATTTGTGTGTGCTTTTGTGGTGCATTTCCTATCGTTGATGCTGTTTATTTGCTTAACTATTGGTGTTGCCGCACTGCCGCACGGAAGGGTCCGCAGCACCTGAACTTAACTCTCTCTCTCTCTCTCTCTCTCTCTCTCTATATATATATATATATATATATATATATATATATATATATATATATATATATATATATATATAATTGAAATCCAAAGCAATTAAACTTGTTTGAACCCCCACACCCACACCCCACGCACACCCCTTCCCTCTTAATGTACCCGCCCTATTGTGAAGGTAATTGACAAGACTAATCGTTGTCAGCAATTTATCTATTTCTATAAAGGATATCCTTCAACATTGAATTGTCATTCAATACTTTAACTACGCATTTGTAGTTGGGGGAAATGGTCAAAATTGAATGGTCGTTCAGTGCTTAAAAAAACGCACACATTAAAAGTCATTTGTAGTAGTTTAGAGTAGTTTAATTCTTTTAAGGCATTTGTAGTCCAACTTATATTGGTCTTATATAGTTTAATTGTTTTAAGCCATTTGGAGTCTAGCTTAGATTGGACACGCATGTTAAAGTATTTATCCACGAATGTTAAGTGTGGATCTAACGCACATTAATGTCATAAGGTGTGTTAGATATACATTTGTCATGCGTTTATTTACTCGCTTGTGTGCTTTTCTAAACTATACAGTGTGCATCAATGAATTGTTTAATGTGCGTTGTTTAAGAGTTAATTGATAATTCAATGTTGTATGCTTCCACAGCTACAAATCTATTATTTAAAGTTGACAGATTTCCTTTATGGGAATTAGATAAAGTTCTGACAACGAAATAGACTTGTCACTTACCGTCAAAGTTATATACAAAATAATGTTATATATTTATTTACCAAGTATTTTATTAATACCATGAAAAAAAAATCAAAAAATCCAATCATATTAACGGGATTTGTTGACAAAGAGAGTATTCAAATCACACAACATATTGAAGTGAGAACTATCTCGCAATGTCCTTGTTTGACAATCAGCAGTTAGCGGTTAGCGTTAGCGGATTTGACCAACGAATTATATCAACGGTGATAAAGAGATATTTGAAAAAATTAGCTGTTTAGATTAACATGTAAAATGATCTAAGTGTACAACAACAAAAACAACAACAACAACAATAATAATAATTGTTTTAAAAAAAAATAAAAAAATAAAAATATATAATTAAGTCAATCATATTAACTATTTGGGGGATTTATTGACAAAAAGATTATTCAAATCACACAACAAATTGAAGTAGGAAACTAAATCGCAATGTCATTGTTTGGCAATCAATAGTTAGCTCTTCAATATTAGTACATATTTAATATTTTATGCCCTAGTTTTTATTTGCTCTCCCTGATGTCCCGTATTTGGTTTCAACCATACCTAATATTGAGCATTATCCCAATTGCACAATGCGTGTAAAAAATCTACTATACTAATAAGAGCCCAAGAGAGTTAAACCTATAATGGGTAGAAAAATGGCGGTCAAAATTTTTTTTAATCAAATGAATGGCTCAGATTGATCAGATTTTAATTTTCCCTTAAGATTTCCTAATGTATCCTTAATGAATATGATTATCCGTTAACTTTTCCGTTAAATATTATCTTTTCCGTTAATTCTGTTAGTTCACCGTTAACTTACTCATTGATTTCAATAAAAATGTCTTAGGTTCGAACCCCATCCCAATCAAAGTTGCCGTAATTAGTACTCTATTTCACTCTTATTAAATTAAAATAATAATTTAGTAGCTACAACAAAAAATAATACATATGCATTTCTTTAATTTAGAATTATGTGTCTACAATGTCTTTATTCAAAAAAAGTTATTCATTATCAATAAATTAAATAAGAGAAATAATTTCATTAGTTATATTGTCTTTATTTTTCTCCAATATAAAAATTCTTTACATTCAAATTCATTAATTGATTATATTCGTTACATTGTTCCTACAATGTCGTTATTAAAAAAATTATTCATTATCAATAAATTAATTAAGAGAAATAATTTTATTAGTTATATTGTCTTTATATATATTTCTCTAATTTAAAAATTTGTTACACTATTTTTTAATTAAATATCAAAGTTATATACAAAATAATGTTATATATTTATTTACCAAGTATTTTATTAATACCATGAAAAAATAAAAAATAATAAAATAATAAAAGTCAATCATATTAACTACTTGAGGGATTTGTTGACAAAGAGAGTATTCAAATCACATAACAAATTGAAGTGAGAACTACCTCGCAATATCCTTATTTGACAATCAGCAGTTAGCAGTTAGCGTTAGCGGATTTGACCAACGAATTATATCAAAGGTGGTAAAGAGATATTTGAAAAAATTAGCTGTTTAGATTAACATGTAAAATGATCTAAGGGTACAACAAGAACAACAACAATAATAATAATACTAATAATTGTTTTAAAAAAAATAAAAAATATATATAATTAAGCCAATCATATTAACTACTTGGGGGATTTATTGACAAAAAGATTATTCAAATCACACAACAAATTGAAGTAGGAAACTAACTCGCAATGTCATTGTTTGGCAATCAGTAATTAGCTCTTCAATATTAGTACATATTTAATATTGAGTTTATTACCGAAATGGTCCCTCGACTATTGTGAAATTCACAATTTGATCATTGACAATTTTTCTTACCCAATTAAGTCCTTGACTTTGAAAATGTTAACTATTTTGGTCATCAGTTAAATTTCCATCCATAAACTGTTAAATTTAAGGATAAAAATGTAATTTTATATATTTTATTTATTAAAGCTTTTCTTCTTCATGTCTATCCACTCCTTTTTACTGTTCTGGGAATTAAACTAGACAATAACAAAAGGCAGCTTAAATTGCTTTTGTTTTGTGATAGAATGCCTAATAAGAGTTGTTCTGGTGGCCATGTTATTGCATATGCAAATCTATTATGAAAGATTCCAAGCTTGCAGATGGAGATTTGTGTTTCTTTACTCCTGCAAAAGCAAATCTTTTCTTGAGAAAATCATTTCCTCTGAGATATCCATCTTCTCCATAACATTATATATCTCAATTAGTGATGATTTCGGTTTCTTAATTCAATCTTGCTGGTTTTCTTATGGATTTGATCTCTGTAATGCCCTATCCTCCTCCCACGAATTCGAAAATCGCCCCAAACTGGTTTTCTGTTCCACTTCATCATCAATCCATAATCATCCATAACCATCTGTATAGCATCACCATCATCTTATTAACTCATAATCACCATTATGTTGGGAGCATTTAAAGGGAAAGGCTTCCTTTTGCCTATCCATGTTGTCCCACATTGGAAGTTTAGCCTCTTATTGTAAGTATTTTCCCTAAATACAATATATTATAATATATTGTATTATTGGGTGGCTGTGGTGCAAGTAGGAGATTGAGTCAATTAGTGACTTAATCTGTTATGCAACTCAGGATATTCAGTTAAGCTTTAACTGAATATCTGCCTATGTTGATGGCATGTAGGCTTCTAAGCAAAACAGTCCTCCCACAGCTCCCGAGTTCAGGACACGTACCATCAC